GGGCAGTGCGCTGGCGCGCTCGTGCGTGCGTGCACTCGTGGGCTCGCGCTCCGTGCCGCCTCTGACCGAGACGATGCCAGGACCTGGGCAGCATCGGATCGGGACGCGTCTCCGGGATCTCTGCAGGGCCGGCGGGCCTGGCGAGGACGCCTCGGGCGGGCCTCTTCAGAGGCCGGCCCAGGAGCGCCCCAGAAGGCTCCGGGGAGAGCGTTCCAGAACGCCCCGGCGCGGTTTGTCCCGATCCCAGGCCTGCCTGGCTCTGACCCACCCCCGGGGTGGGGACGGCGGGAGCCTGGGCGTGCACAGATCGGAGGAGGCCCAGTGGTCCGGGCGCACCAGTTTCCCGAGCCACGTCCAGCCGTGGAGACGAGGGGCCCACCGAAGGCCACTCCTCTGAGCAGAGGCTTCCGAGGCCTGAGCCCCGAGGTGCCAGGCCCGGCCCCTCCCGCAGGGGAGGGGGGCGTCGGGGGCGTCCGCGGCGCGCCCTGCGGGCCGCAGCGCGGTGGCCGAGGTCCACGGAGCGAGGGGGCGGAGGCTCGGGGCTGCCTTGCCATCTGCTCGGTGTGCTGCTCACCCCGTGTTTGTGGACGCCGTGAGAGCACTGGGGCTCCCCTCCCCCAGAACGAGTTCGCGCGTAACGAAACCAAACAGTTAAAAATCAGATCGGGCAGGGACGGTTGAAAATATGGCTTGTTCTCGTCTGAGTCGCTAGCTGCGGCCTGCCAGCCTCGACGGCGACGATGACGACGACGACGACGACGACGACGACGAACTGGGAACAATTGTTGAATCGTCCACTTCTCAGAGGGGCGCTGCGACCCCCCATGGGCTGTTCTTGACCGCTTGGTCGCATTAGGACAAGGAGCATCGAATCCACAGCCTCGCAACACGTCGGAGCCCAGGGCCGTCGAACACTCGCCGATGACTATTAAGTGCATGCAGCCCGCCACGGATAGCGAAAGGCATCTTATCAGAAAGTAGACTCTCTGTCCTCCGATATCGTAGCGTGGCCAGTATCCCCTCCTTCCAAGTGCCTTGATCCGCGGAGGTTCTCGAGAAAAAACATACCCTCTCCCCAAAGCAACACAGCCAGTCTGGATGAAGCTCACTTCACACACACACACACACACACACCTCAACTAGAACACAAATCGCATCACCCTGCCTGGGGAGACTAAAAGGTACCGATACCGCTACTCCCCGGACCTCTCCTGGGGTGCGTCCTGACCAGGATTTCGAAGCGAGTCCAGCGGTGGCGACGAGGGCCTCCCAGGAGGCCTAAGAAAGGGAAATCGAGAGAAGGTAGCGGCATGGGTACTCTTTCCCCCTCCGACTGCCTGGTTACGCACGCCCGTGGCAGAGCCCTGCACCAAAACGCCACCAAAAAACCCAAAACGTTTGCACGGACAACTGCCCCATTCCGCGCCTGGGCCGGAGGCGGACGGTGCGAGCGCGGTCGGTCGGTCGGCGGCCCGCGTCGCCAGGCCCCGCGGGAGCCTCTACCGTCGTCCGTCACGGTGCGGGAGGTCTTCGTCCTCCGCGACGGTATCTCACATTTGGCTTGCCCATCGTACTGTCTCACCTACTCTCTCTCTCTCTCTCTCTCTCCCTATCCCTCTCATTTGCATGTTCATAATGTTTTTGTTTGTTTTTGTCTCTCTCTCTCTCTCTCTCTCTCTCTCTCTCTCCCTCTCAAAGTACTACTGTGCACATGTATATACACATTTGTATGCATGTAGATGCATACAGATATATATATATATATATACACATATATATACACATATATATCTATACATGTACGTATACAATGTATACAGATGTGTGTATGTCGTTGTCTCTCTCTCTCTCTCGTTCGTTATCTCTCTGTACGTACAGATCATTCTGCAATGTACAAACGCATATGAATGCCAACACGTACACATACATACATACCTAACTACGTGTGCATGCATATACGCAACTACTGTGTATGTAGACTAAGATTACCTCCTGTGATCCACCATTGTGCTTCCTCAGAAGACGAGATGTGAACGTGATGCAACCAGGTATTCGCCGGCCCAACGGGCCAGAGGCGTGCTAAGATCTCCGGTAACTGGTTAACAATTCTCTAGTTCGCGCGCGCGGGGCGGCCCCTGGGGGTCCCCGGACGAAAAATACCCCGGGCGACTCCCGGCTGATCCCCGGGCGACTCCACCAGAGCGCCCCATGAGCGCACCAACAGGGCTCCGAGACGTCCCCGAGAGCCCCAAGAAAGGCCAAGAGGCCCCCAAGAGGCCCCCAAGATGGTACACGAGGGGTCCGACATGCCACAACAAGATCGCTCCAAGACGCCCAAGATAGCCCCCAGACGCCCCAAGAGGCCTCCAAGAGCACTCCCAAGAGGGCCCCCGGAGGCAAAATTCATTGCTTTTCCTTAGGGTTTTGAGAGATGTTGGAAAGGAAGGAGATAGCCAACTCCAGGGCGAGAGAAAAACGGAGGACAGAGATAGAAGGGAGGAGGGAGTGCGGCCATTGTTCCCGCTGACAGCGGTCAAGCGCAAAAGCTGAGTTCCTCCAAAAGAGCTGCTAGCTCTCGCAAGGAAAGATCATGCCTGGCAGCGCAGCTGTGGGAGGATGGGGGTCTCAGCCCGCTGAGTGCATAGCAAGGACAGTGAGATGCATTATGGCCGGGTGAGGTAGCGGCCATGGTCTGCAGCTGTTCCGCGGCAGAATGCTCGTGCCGCTAGGCCTCCCCCGAAAGAGCTGCTTGCCCCCGCGAGGCAAAACCATGCCTAGCAGCGCTGCTATTGGAGGAACGTAAGCACTTAAGCTCGGCTGTAGCACCGGGGGTGCATGCGGCGCGCCATAAGCTGGAAACGAAGAACTTGCATGCTTCGGGGTCAGGGCCTCGTCCCCCCCAGGGAAGAAAATCAGCCACCAGGAGGCCTCTTCCCCGAAAAAGATCTCTCGCAAGAGCCGCGATTCGACCAAGGGTCAAGATCGCGAATGGAGCCCGAAACATTGAAGCCTCAACCCCTGTTTCATGAAACGCGCACAGATCCCGACGGAGGACCACATTCAGCACAGGAGCTCCGAAAGGCGTTCCGAGCGGGAGCCCAACTGAGCGCAAGCTAAGGTAGCTACAGCTCAGGCAAGCGTCAGCCAGGGGTCGGCCGATTTTGCGTTTTAGCTTCGTCGTCGTCAGAACTGAGCAGAAAATGAAAACGACCCACGAGATTACCGAAAACAGCGATTTGGCCGACCCCTAGTAGCTACAGCGCCTCACAACTCGCCAACGCGAGAGTGGGTGTCTTTGGTCTAAAAGGGATTGCCGAAACAAATCCTGGCCTTGGCATCGAAATCTGATGCGGGAAAACTTGAAGATGCCAAGATACCGTACGCCGCTCGGTGCAACTCAATGGATATAGTTCTCAGCGTTTGCAGCTGCAGAGAACTGAGGCATTCATGTGGCGAAGATTCTGCTCTGACGTTTAGCTTCATCACTTTGGCCTTCCTAGACGTCACGCACGTGTTCGCAGCATTGAAGTCATCGCAGACAATATCGGTCATCATATCGGGGCCCATCACGTGCACCTTCACATCAGAAAAATGAGCGGCGTAGCGACTATGTAGAGAAGTCGTGAACGAGTAGTTGTACGCGTAGCCCTCCATCTGTGAAACGCTTAGCCAATCTGCGAAGGCCAATTCAACCTGCCCGTGAGCCTTGAGCTGCCGATACCAACTTGCGATCCAATCGTAAAATGGTCGGTAAACCATCACGATGGTGGTACTGATGTGGCTTAAGTCAAACGCGAGCTGTGCGACGCTGGTGTCATTGATCTGGTCGAAACGCTCACTAGACATCACTACCTTTTAGGAAGTTCCTTTGAGCTGGTCAAGAAAGTGCAGCCAATCTGAACAAATTGTTTCTGTGCATTTCCTGTACCAGGACTGGCTCCCCAGATAACACTCTGCAACGTTCGCGATTTGAGTCATTCGTTTAAATTCAAAAGGTCCGAACTGCGCAGGGTCTTCCAACGTCCAGCCGTCACTTGTTAGAGAGGTCTGCCAAGCTTTAAGTTGTTTCTGAATTGTTGTCGAAGCAGTTTTGTGGGGACCCACATGAAGCCACAGTCTTGCACCCCTTTCCGTTGAGTTAGACCTTGATTCACCCATTGCCCATATATCAATCCGCACATAGCCCAAAAACACTAACGCGGCGGATAACTTCATCTGACACGGGCCCTTGAGCCCAAATGGCTACAGGCTCTCTTGGGGCCGTCTTGGGGCCCTCTGAAGCCGCTTTGGGGGCCCTCTTGGCCCGTCTTGGGGCCCTTCGGCCGCGTCACTCGAACAGATACGAAGAAACGGGCCATGGGAGCCGCCCGGGAGCCGCTCCACTCGACAACAAAAACGAAGCGCGAGAGCGACTAGACGTTTGTTCCCCCGCTAGCCCCCTCCCCCCAGACCCCCTCCCCACAAGGGCTTCGCCCCTCTGCGAAACGTCTCTTGCTCGTACATCGCTCTTTCCGTCATCCGCCGCCTCCTGCTGACTCATCACAGGGGTGCATGGCGTGATAGACGCCCGCTGGCTCTAGGTTATTGGGCTTCTCGGCCCAGCGCGCCAGCCGCTGGGAGAACTCGTCCAAACCCGGCTGGCAAGGATTTGTCTGCTCCAATTTTGGCTCTGATATTGCTCAGGATGGCTTCCAAGATGCCTCCAAGACAGGCAGGGGCAAGGTGGCCCCAAGAGAGCGCTAGATAGCCGATAGCCCCAGGATGGCTTCCAAGACGGTCCCAAGATGCATCCAAGATCGCCAAGATGGTCCAAGAGAGCCCAAGACGGCCCGAGGAGCGCCCAAGAGGCCCCGAAGACAGCCCAAGAAGCCTCTGTGGCATTTGCTCAAACACGGCCTTCCGACGGCCCAGGAGGCCCCCAAGATTGTCTCGAGATCGCCCACAGAGACCGTCAAGATGGCCCCATGTCGGCCCAAGGACGCCCCAAGACGGCTCAGAGAGGCTCCCAAGACGGCTTCTGACGGCGTCAGACGGGCTAGGAACGCTGCAAAACTGCCACAGATGCCTACAAGAAGCCCCCAAAGGCCCCCAAGAGGCCCAAGGAGGCCCCCCAAGGAGGCCCCCAAGAGGCCTCCAAGAGGCCCCCAGGAAGCTCCCAGGAGGCCCCAAGAATGACCCGAACAGCTTCCAAGCGGGCTGCTCATCTTTCTCCTCCTCCTCCTCCTCCTCCTCCTCCTCCTCCTCCTCCTCCTCCCCCTCCTGTATCCTCCTTCTCCTCATCCTCCCCTTCCTCCCCCACGTGTTCCTCAAAGGGCTTCCGCAGCGGCTGGGGAACGAATGGCGCACTAGCGTGGCCAAACGTTGCCCAAACGTTTGGCCACATAGGCGTACCCTGAAAGGCAGGAGGCGGCGGTGTCTCGCCGTGGGCGTCTCCGATCCGCCGCCCCTTATATTACTTGCAAGAGAAGTTATTGGCGTGCTGGTAAGATCTCCGGTAACTGGTTAACAGTTCTCTAGTTCGCGCGCGCGGGGCGGCCCCTGGGGGTCCCCGGACGAAAAGTACCCCGGGCGACTCCCGGCTGATCCCCGGGCGACTCCACCAGAGCGCCCCATGAGCGCACCAACAGGGCTCCGAGACGTCCCCGAGAGCCCCAAGAAAGGCCAAGAAGGCCCCCAAGAGGCCCCCAAGATGGTACACGAGGGGTCCGACATGCCACAAGGTCGCTCCAAGACGCCCAAGATAGCCCCCAGACGCCCCAAGAGGCCTCCAAGAGCACTCCCAAGAGGGCCCCCGGAGGCAACATTCATTGCTTTTCCTTAGGTTTTTGAGAGATTTTGGAGCTTCCACCTTTTCGGCTTCCCGACGCCCCAAGACGGCCCAAGAGGCCCCCAAGATCGCCCCAAGAGGGCCCAAGAGGCCCCCAAGAGGGCCCCAAGATGGCCCAAGAGGGCTCGAAGACGGCCCAAGAAGCCTCCAAGACGGTCCAAGAGGGCCCCAAGAACGCCCCCAAAGGGGCCCCAGAGAGGGAACACGAAACAACATTTCGAGCCCTCGGCCCTAAGAAGCCCCCACGAGGCCCCAAGAGGCCCCTAAGAGGCCCCAAGAGGCCCCCACGAAGCCCTCAGGAGGCCCCCAAGAGTCCCCCAAGCGGCTCCAGGAGGCCCCCCAAATGCCCCCCCGAGCGCCCCAGGAGTCCCCCAAGCGGCCCCAGGAACCCCCAAAGCGCCGCATTGACACCAGGCCCTCGGGCAAACGGCAGACATGAGACTGCATGGGCCGGCGGAATGAGCGAAGCGATTAAATAACACGACTTCTTGTGCAGCCCTCAGAATGGATCCATCTGTAAAATGCAACCGGGGCCCAACAGCGCAGTTTGAGCAGGAATACTTCCCCTGATAAAACAAGGAGCGAAGCCCGAGGGGGGCACTTCAAATAAAAATGTCATCTGAATTGGTGAGAAAGGGATCAACAGCAATTTCAAGAATGACAGTTCAGCTACAGCAGCCACAATCATTTCAAAATTGTTCGCTCCTATCTGCACGCGTGCCGCTATCCACGTATATCCCAAACCCTCGGTACCCGCCCCCATCGTTTTCGATGGTACCCCCTTGTGGATATATCGTCCTTACCTGCCGCGCGAAACTAGCGTAGCCCCTAAAACAGCGGAAGGGAAGACGGATGGAAGGGGGAGGGGGAAGGATTAAGCACGAGAGAAGTCAGCAGGACGGGGGCTAGGAGCAGAAAATAAGTGGCAGGACCAGATTGGCAGATCGGGCGGGCAGACCCTAGCGGGCGGATCGGGAAGGCGGGCCCAGGCAGAAGTCTCGAGCGCGCAAAAAGACCAAAGCGACAGCGCGATTCCTCAGTGTCGAGGGCGCGGCGTGTAAATAAATTCCAAATAAGTCCCACCCGGGAGCTCGATTCTTGCATAAATTGTAAGGACGTCCTGCGCGAGAGCGCGATTTGGGAATACATTGTGAGGGAGTTTTGCGCGGGAGCCGTTGTTGTTGTTGTAGTTCGGGGGGCCAAGGGGCAAGTTTGACCCTCAAGATCTTCTCTGACACAAAAACTGGGTGCGACCCCCGGGAGGGGCACTTCATTTGGAAAAATACCGTGTGCGCCGGGGGGGGATCAACAATGATTATCCTCAGAAATGAGCCTTCATCAACACAAACAACAAAACCAACACCACCAACAACAACAGCAACAACAACAATCAGTTTAAGACTGGTCGCTCTTACTGGCACGCATGTCCTGCGTTATGTATGCCCCAACTCTCGACACCCGCCTACTTCGTCTTCGATCGCACCCCCTTCCGGGGGGAATACCTTCCTTGTCGGCCACTGACTGCAGTGCGAGGAACTCTCTCTCGAGCGAGAGCGCCGTTCCTGAATTCGGAGACCTCGTTGGCCAGGCCAGGGGCTCTCGGATTACATATTGAGAAATATCGAACGGGAACCCTTGTTGCCGTGTCTAGGCCCCAACCAACTTGCCTGAATTACGAGAAAATCTCGAGCGAGACCGCCACTCTTGAGTTCGGGGGCCTCTCTGGCAATGGCCTCTGCAAATACATATTTCAGAAAGTATCGAACGAAAGCCCCTGTCGTCGTAGTTGGGCCTCCACCCATTTGATTGAATCGCGGAGAAAGTCTCGAGCGAGAGCGCCGTTCCTGAGTTCGGGGGCCTTCCTGGCCAGGGGCTCTCGGAGTAAATCGTGAGGACGTATCGAGCAGGAGCCCTTGTCATCGTGGCTGGGCCTCCGCCACATGACTGAAGTGCGAGGAAGTCTCGAGCAAAAGCGCCGTTCCTAAGTTCGGGGGTCTCTCTGGCCAAGTTGTCTCGGGGTACATTGCGAAGAAGTATCGAACGGGAGCCGTTGTCGTCGTAGCCGGGCCTCCAAGGGCACACTTTCAACTCAAGCCAACGCTCGCGCGGGAGCCTCGTTTTCAGAGAAAAAGTAACTGGCGTCGAGGCGAGAGCGCGTGGAACCGTTTCCGGAGATCCAGAATACTTGTTCTCTAGAGATGAATCAACAACAACGACAACAACAACAACAACAGCAACAACAACAATAATAATAACAATGATGTTAACCTCATGCGCGATGTTTCCACACGAAGCATGCGACCATCATGATAAGCATCCCCATCATGGGGGACTCTTGTTCTAGAGCGGGACCCGTTACCAGATCTCCAGCCCAATGAGGTCTTGCAAACACCTCCTCCGAGGAACTTCAACATTTCCCACCTCGAAAACGCACGCCCGCGCCTTGCTGCGCCGATGCGAGACCACTCTCGAGCGGGAACGCTGGTTTTGTTGGGACGGCGGCTGTCGGCGGCGAGGAACACCGCCTTGACTAAGAAGGGAGGAAATCTCAAGCGAGAGCCGTGGTTTTCTCGGGACGGGGGCTGTCGGCGGCGGAGCAGCACCGTCCTCAGGAAAACGGGAGGAAGCCTCGAGCGGGAGCATTGTTCTTGCTGGGAGCGGCGCCAACTCAAAAGAGAGTAGGGCACCACTCCAGCGTAAAACGGGAGGAAGTCTCGGGCGGGAGAGCTGGTTTTGTCGAGGCGGCGGTTTTCGGCGGCGAGGAGGAGCACCGCCTTGAGTAAAAAAGGGAGGAAGTTTCGAGCGGGAGTGTTCTTGTTGCTGGGGGCGGCGCCGATGAGAGAAAGAGTAGCGCGCCAGTCCAAAGTAGAACGGGAGGAGGTCTCGAGCGGTAGCGTTGGTTTTGTTGGGACGGCGGCTTTCAGCGGCGAGCAGGAGCACCAGCCTGAGCAAAAAAGGAGAAGTCTCGAGCAGGAGTCGTGGTTTTGTCGGGACGACGGCTGTCGGCGGCGAGGAACAGCACCGTCCTAAGAAAAAAAAGGAGAAAGCCTCGAGCGGGAGAGTTGTACTTGCTGGGAACGGCGCCAATTCAAAAGAGAGTAAGGAAGTCTCGGGCGGGAGCGCTGGTTTTGTCGGGGCGGCGGTTTTCGGCGGCGAGGAGGAGCACCGCCTTGAGTAAAAAAGGGAGGAAGTTTCGAGCGGGAGTGTTCTTGTTGCTGGGGGCGGCGCCGATGAAAGAAAAAGTAGCGCGCCAGTCCAAAGTAGAACGGGAGAAAGTCTCGAGCGGTAGCGCTGGTTTTGTGGGGACGGCGGCTTTCAGCGGCGAGCAGGAGCGCGAGGTCTGACTAACAAAACAATCTCGACCGGGAGAGTTGTTGTTGTTGTTGTTGTTGCTGCTGCTGTTGTTGTTGTTGTTGTTGTTGTTGTTGTTGTTGGTGGTGTTGTTGTTGTTGTTGTTGTTGTTGTTGTTGTTGTTGGGGGGTCGGTGTTGGCGCCCCCCCATACCGCTCGAACGTTAGCCTCATTTTCAATGAGAATGCAGCCGGCGCCGATGCGAGAGCGCCAGGGCGGCTGGGGGGTCAAATAATTAGAACGGACCAATTAGCATCATTCAACAACAACCACAACCACCACAACAACAACAATAACTGCAATCAGTTTAAGACTGGTCGCGGGCCATTCAACACGTATATCCCAAACCCTCGATACCCACCGTTTTCGTTTTCGATCGTGCCCCAATTGGGGGCATATATCCTTCTTACCTGCAACATGTATTTCGTGCAGCCTCTGAGGCAGGGGAACAGAGGACGGATAGAAGGGTAGGGCAAGAGGGATGGAGGAGGATGGAGCACGAGAGAAACTAGAAGGAGGGGCTAGGAGCAGAAAGCACGTGGCAGAACGAGACGGGCAGATCGGGCGGGTAGACCCCCACAGGCGGGTCGGGAAGGCGGGCCCAGGCGGCCAGGTCGACCAGGCGGGTTGCTGAAGATGCGTCCTGCATGAATCGCGAAGACGTCTCGAACGAGAGCGCCATTCCCAAATAAACCGTCGGGGAATCCACAGCGAGAGCGTGATTCCTGAGTGTCGAGGGCGCGGCATCTGAATGAATGGCGAGGAAGTCCCTCCCGAGAGCGCGATTCTTGCATAAATTGTGACGACGTCCGGCGCGAGAGCGCGATTGGGGAATACATTGATAGGAAGGGCCAGGGGGCAAGTTTGACCCTCGAGGTTGTCCCTGGTAAAAGACAGGGTGCGACCCCCTGGAAGGGCACTTCATTTGGAAAATACATTGTGTTCCTGGTGACCAGCAATTATTATTTTTCAGAAGTGAGACTTCAACAACACCAACACCAACAATAATGAGAACAATAACAGCAACATCAACAGCAACCACGACCACAACCACAACAATAGCCACAACAACAAACAACTCATTCATAACGAGTTCCCCACACCCTCGATACCCGCCGTTTTTGTCTTCGATCATACCCCTGGGGGGATTATTTCTCTTTGCAGAGGGCGGCGGGCTTAGACAGGCGGGCAAACCTGAACGGGCGGACAATCCTTCGTGGGCGTACATGTTCCCGCCATTGAAACAGGTGCGGGCCCTGCAAAAAGAGGAGGGGGAGAACGAGGGAGAGCGGGAGCAAGGGAGGGGGAGGGACGAAGGAAGAGGGAAAACGCCAGGAGAGGAGAAGCGACGAGGGGAGCGGTTGATTAGAGACGACAGAGAGAGAGAGAGAGAGAAAAAAAAAAAGAAGGAAATACATATAAGAGAGGTATAGAGAAAGAGAAAGGGGAGAGAGAGAGAGAGAGAGAGAGAAAACAACATATATATATATAGAAAAAAAGGAGGCAGGAGAGGGGAGGGAGAAGGGAGGAGGGAGAGGAGGGAGAGGGGATAGGGCAGAGAGGCATAAGGATGAGGGAAGAGAGGAGGAAGAGAGAAGGGAGGAGAGGAGAGAGGAGGGAGGAGGGAGAGGGAGGATGAGCAGGAAAGTAAGAGCGTGAACATTCGAGGAAGTCCTAGGCGAAAGCGCCGTTCCTGAAGGAAGTCTCGGGCGGGAGCCCACGACGGGCGGGCGATCCCCTGATGGGTGGGTCGGGCGGGTGGGACATTCAAGCGGGATGCCTGAGTATGGCGAGAGTGCGACTACCAAGTATATTGTGACAGCGTCCTTGGCGCAGCGTGTTTCCTGAGCATCGAAAGCGCGATTCCTGAATAAATTGCATGGAAGTCAGAGGCGAGAGCGCAATTCCTGCATAAAATGTGAGGGGTGCTCTGGCGGGAGCGGGGGTCTTGATTAAATTGCGAGGAAGTCTTGACTCGATTGCGAGGAAGTCTCAAGCGGGAGCGCCGTTCCTGAGTAAATTGTGAGGAAGTCTCAGATGGGAGCGGGGGTCCTGACTACATTGCGAGGAAGTCACAGGCGGGAGCACAAATCCTGAGTAAATTGTACAGAACTCTTAAACCGGAGCGGGGGTCCTGAGTAGATTTGGAGGAAGTCTGAGGCGGGAGCCGTTGTTGTTGTAATCCAAGGGGCCAGGGGCGCAGTTTGAGCAGCAAAACTTTCCCTGACAAAAAACAGGGTGCGAACGTCGAGAGGCACCCTTTGATTGAGAAACAATATTATGCACCGTTGAGCGGGGATCAACAAAAATTATTCTTCAGAAATGAGAGTTCAACAGCAACAGCAGCAACAACAACAACGACTACAAACAACCACAAGACAAAAACATCGAAGAGGACTCGAGGCTCTTGAATGGCCTCGGAGCGAGTGGGAGCGGGCCTCCACTCAGGGGCGACGGGGAAACGTGGGGAGCGGACTCGTTGAGGGGGGGGGGGACGCGCTGGCCTGAAAAAACGGCGACCCATCGCCGACAGGTCGGCGACAGGCCCCCGCTAGCGAACCCGCACGCTCCCCGGCGGAGGGCTCTTCTAGGGGTAACGACGCGCTGATGTCTCGGAGCGGCACCGGGCCCCCCTGCCTGGCGCGCGAAGCGCGCCAGGGGCGGCGCGGGAGGCGCCGCCAGTGGGGTCCAGCGCGGATCCGAGAAATCCGCGCGGACCTCAGTTTGTATGTTTATGTCATTGTTGGTTCCCCTATCTTCGGCGATGAGTGTAGGAAAGCTCCAAACAATATACCACCACCAGCCCTTGCCAGGCCTACCGTGGGCCCTGGACTGGTGTACAGGCCTTCCTGGCCTGGGCACGGAGGTCTGTACACCGACCCAGGGCCCAGGAAGTGCCTGGCCAGGGCTGGTGGTCGTGCATGATTGGCGTCCCTCCGAGAGTGGGCGATCCGGGGTCGATGTCCCCCCGCGGGGCAAGCCCCTCCCCAGCGTTGCCCCCGAGAGGGGGGGTGCGGGGTCAACGGCGCACACTCCCCTTCGAGGGGCAAGCGGGAGGCACTGCGGGGACAGCAAGCGGCCACAACATATCGACGTCTTGCGCATGCCAAACTGTCGGAACACCGAAACCAGCTTCGTACTGGTTGTTGTCGATGTGGCGTCCCGGGACGGCCAAATCAACCACAACCACAACCAAAGTGAGCATGTCGAGGTCGGCGGGTCATCTCTCGATGGGGCCCTTTAGAAAGATCGTCTTAGTTGTAGTTGCGCTTCTTTGTTGAGCCCAGAGGCGCGGGGCAAGGAGGTCCTGGTCTTCGCCCCCGCGTCCGGGCCCTGCACGGCCCAGCAGGGGGAGGGTGCTGCTACCGCGCTGCCGCCGCCATTGCGCCTCCTCGCGCCCCTCGCGCACCTTCTCCTCCTCCTCCTCCTGCTACTGCTCATGCTCTTGGTTATCCTCCTCCTCGTCCTCCTCTTGTGTTCAGTCTTACTTATATAATTACGAATACAAGTGGTATCATTAATGTTGTAGTATTAATACGAGTATGCTGATTAGAACTGTTAGTATTGTGATTATAACTACACTATGACTAGCATCACAAGTACGAGCAGTGGCATCATTACTACGATTCGGATGGGTATCAGTAGGATCCGTATGGCGATGAGTAGTATATGATTGTGTGTTATTGTTCTTGATACTGCTCATATACACTAGCAGTAACAGGCATACTGTCATATGTGATACTCACCAATACTAAGGTTTATACTATTCTATTTGATAGAAAACGTGTTAATAGTAGCATTAGCATCGCTATGATTATTCACCAGTCTTAGAATTCGTATTACAACTATTAACATTATCAGTTGTGCTAGTGTGAATATGACTATTAGTACTACGACTACCACGACTACTACGACTACTACTACTACTACTACTACTACTACTACTACTACTACTACTACTACTACTACTACTACTACTACTACTACTACTACTACTACTACTACTACTACAACTACTACTACTACTACTACTACTACTACTACTACTACTACTACTACTACTACTACTACTACTACTACTACTACTACTACTACTACTACCACTACTATGAGTAATAATACTGTTTTTTTTTTTTTTAAAAAAAAAAAAAAAAAAAAAAAAAAAAAAAAAAAAAAAAAAAAAAAAAAAAAAATCATTGATATAAACACGTGGTGTTAATATAACTGGTATCATTTGCAATATCAGCATTATGAGTAGTATCACGATTAGTATACTTAGTAGTAAGAGTGTCCTTTATTCGTCGTCTTTGTAATACCAGTATTCCTACTAAAAGCATGTTTATTATTCTTAGTGCTCGTCGAAGTACTCAAACTGATTGTATTATGCGTGTCCTTATTACTGTTACTATGATTCCCCATGTCCAAAGGGTGGGGCTCTTGTTATTACTCCGGCCGCGCCGAGAACGCCCACATGAACACCCTGACCTCTTCCTTCTCAGGTTATGTTATGCTATGTCACGTTATGGTATGTGATGGTCGGCTATGTTTTGGTATGGTATGTTGTGTTATGATGTATGATGGTATGTGATGATATGCTATGGTATGGTATGATGTGTTGCAGTATGGTATACTATGCTACTGTATGGTATGGTATGATATGGTATGGTATGTTAGGTTATGGTATGTAATGTACTTGATGGCGGAGCAAATTCTGAGGACGTCTCAAGCGCGGGTTCCAGCACCCCACAGGGGGAGCCTCCAAGGGGTATTGCACTCCTCCGTTCGCGCCGAAATTACAAAGATGTCTCGAGCGGTTTCCTGCGTCACCACCCGACATCATCCGCGTTCGGAGTAGATGTTGAGGATGTCTCCAGCGAGGCGCAGGTTTCAGCACCCCCAAGGGGAGCCGCCAGGGGGTATTGCACTCCTCCGTTCGCGCCAAAGATACAAAGATGTCTCGAGCGGTTTCCTGTGTCACCACCCGACATCATCCGCTTTCGGAGTAGATTTTGAGGATGTCTCGAGCGAGGCGCGGGTTTCAGCACCCCCAAGGGGGAGCTGCCAGGAGGTATTGCACTCGTCCGTTCGCGCCCAAATGGCGGGGATGTCTCGAGCGGCTTGCCTGTCTCACCACTCGGCATCCTCCGCTTTCGGAGCAGATGTTGAGAATGTCTCGAGCGAGGCGCGGGTTTGAGAACCCCAGGGGGGCCGGGTGTTGAGGATGTTTCGAGCGGTTTGCGTGTTTCTTGGTGGCCACATTCGTCTGCGTTCACAATAGAAAATGAGGATGTCTCGGGTGAGGCGTTGGCTTCAACGCCCGAAAGGGCCCCGAGGGCGAGGACGTTTCAGATTCACGTATCCTCAAACTCACTCGTGCTCAGACCCACTCGTACTCTGACTCGCACTCACCATACTCATACTCAGGCTCACTCACACTCAGATTTACGCACAGGAGTGGCTTCAATCCCATGTGTCGTACGTCTGTTCCTATCGAGTGAGCCTCTCCTGGGGCACGAATCCTCAATGTTTTACATGTGTTTCTATACATCGTCCGTCTTCTACGACTCCAACCATAATTGTTTTACATACGTTCCTATATATTGGGCCTGTCCTGGGGCATGAATTCCTAATGTTTTACGCGTGTTCCTACAGACTGCCCCTCTCATGCGGCTCCAGTCCAAAGTATTTTGCATATGTTCTTATATGCTGGACCTCTCCTGGGGCACACATACTCCCCAAGCGGCCCCAGGAGGCTCCAGGAGGCCCCTGGAAACACCAGGATGCCACACAAGGCTTCAGGAGACCCCAAGAGGCCCCAGGAAGCCCCAGGAAACACCACCAGGCCCCAGGAGGCCCCAGGAGGCCACACGAGGCTCCAGGAGGCCCCAGGAAGCCCCAGGAGGCCCCAGGAGGCCCCAGGCCCATGCGCACAGGCTCACTCGTACTACTGAGGCTCATGCACACTCCAACTTATTCACAACTAGACTCACCCCCAGTCTATAATACTCAAGCCAGCTGAGACTCGAAGGCTATTGCGCCTAGACGCGCACGGCGGAAGGGTCCATGAACATAGATGCATATATGGAAAGTTCACGCACCTCCTCCTCTTCCTCCTCCTCCTCCTATTCCTCCTCCTCGTCAGTATCCTCCTTCTCCTACTCCTCCTCCTCCTCCTCCTCCTCCTCCTCCTCCTCCTCCTCCTCCACCTCCTCCTCCTCCTCTTCCTCGTCCTCCTCCTCCTCCTCCGCCGTATCCTTCTCCTCCTCCTCATCCTCCTCCTCCTCATCCTCATCCTCCTCCACCTCCTCCCTCCTCCTCCTCCTCCTCTCCATCCTACCGCCTCCGTCTCCTCATCCTACTCCCCTCGTCCTCCTCCTCTTCGTCCTCCTCCTCCTCCTCTCCTCCTCCTCCTCCTCCTCCTCCTCCGCAGCGTCATCAGCATCAGCAGCAGCAGCATCAGCATCATGAGCAGCATCAGCACCACCATCATCCTCAGCATCGTCACCCTCCTAAACATAATCAGCATCAGCATCAGCATCAGCATCATCATCATCATCAGCATCAGCATCATCACCATCATCATCAGCATCATCATCATCATCAGCAGCATCATCACCAGCAGCATCAGCATCGTCATCATCATCATCAGCATCATCATCATCATCATCATCACCATCATCATCATCACCATCAGCATCATCATCATCATCATCATCATCATCAGCAGCATCATCATCATCAGCATCATCATCATCAGTATCACCATCATCATCAGCATCATCATCAGCATCATCATCATCATCATCATCATACTCATCATCAGTATCATCATCAGCATGAGCAGCATCAACATCAGCATCATCAGCATCATCACCATCATCACCAGCACCGTCAGCATCATCATCACCAGCAGCAACAACAACATCAGCATCGCCATTATCAGAAGCAACACAATTATCATCATCGTCAGCAGCAGCATCAGCATCTGCATCAACATCATCGGCATCATCATCCGAATAATCATCATCATCATCAGCATCAGCATCATCACCATCAGCAGCATCACCAGCAGCAGCAGCATCGTCGGTATCAGCATACTCAGCATTGTCATCATCGATATCAACGTCGGCATCATGGTCGGACTCATCAGCAGCATATTCGTCGTCACCAGCACAAACAACATCAGCATCATCGTCTGCATCAACAGCATCAGCAGCATCAGCATCATCAGCGGCATCATCAGTATCATCAGCAGCATCAGCATCATCAGCAGCATGATCAGCATCATCATCATACTCATCCTCATCCCGATTAGCATCCTCCTCATCATCCTCGCCATCCTCCTCATCATCATCAGCATGATCAGCATCAACATCATCAGCATCAGCAACATGATCACGAGCATCATCATCCTCCTCCTCATCAGCATCAGCATCATCATCAGCAACATCATCATCACCATCAGCATCAGCATCATCATCGTCGTCGTCATCATCATCATCATCATCATCATCATCATCATCATCATCATCAGCATCAGCATCGTCATCATCATCATCCTCTTCATCTTCATCATCTTCATGTTCCTCCTCCTTCTCGTCTCCCTCCTCCTCCTCCTCCTTCTCATCATCATCCTCCTCCGCCTCCTCCCCCCTCATCCTTCTCTTCATCCTCATCCTCCTCCTCCTCCTCCGTATCCTGTTCCTGTTCCTCCACCGCCAACTCCGCCTCCTCCTCCTCCTCCTCCTCCTCCTCCTCCTCCTCCTCCTCCTCCTCCTCCCCTCCCCTCCCCCCATCCCCCCTGCCTCTCCCCTCCTCCTCGTCCTCCTCCTCCTCCTCATCATCATTCTCCTGCTCCTGCTCCTCCCCCTCCTCCCCCTGCTCCTCCTTCTCCTCCTCCTCCTCAGCCTCCGCCTCCGCCACCGCCTCCGCCTCCGCCTCCGCCTCCGCCTCCCTCTCCTCCTCTCCTCCTCCTCCGCCTCCGCCTCCTCCTCCTCCTCCTGCTCCTCATCATCAGCAGCATCAGCATCATCATCACCACCACCACCACCACCATCATCATCATCATCATCAGCATCATCAGCATCATCATCATCATCAGCAGCAACATCATCATCATCAGCAGCAACATCATCATCATCATCATCATCATCATCATCAGCAGCAGCAGCAGCAGCAGCAGGATCATCAGCAGCATCATCAATTGCAGCAGCAGCATCATCGTCATCATCATCCTCGTCCTCGTCCTCGTCCTCGTGCTCCCCCTCCTCCTCCCTCTCCTACTCCTACTCCTACTCCGGCTCCGGCTCCCCCTCCTCCTCGTCCTCCTCCTCCGCGTCCTCCTCCGTCTCCTCCTCCGTCTCCTCCTCCTCCTACTCCTCCTCCTCCTCCTCCTCCTCCTCCTCCTCCTCTTCCTCCTCCATCCCTTCTCCTTATAAATAACTGATCTATGTCGCACCCCGAGGCCAAGTTTTTAGTCAGGCTGGTCGTTTCGCCTGAGACTTCCTCACAATTCATGACTCTGACGATCAAAAATTGAGAACATTTTCACAGATGGAGGGCGTGTCGTTTTCAGAATGTGGCCCTCGCCTTAGCGGTGCGCACATTCGTTTGAAACATTTGCAAGAGCTTCACGGAGTGAGGGCGGTTCCTTTTCAGCATGTGGCTCTCGCCTTAGCGCCGCGCACATTCGTCTTAAAACATCTGCAAGAGCTTCACGGATTGAGGGCGGTTCCGTTACAGCATGTGGCTCTCGCCTTAGCGCCGCGCACATTCGTCTTAAAACATTTGCGAGAGTTTCACGGATTGGGGACGGTTCCTTTTCAACATGTGGCTCTCGCCTTAGCGCCGCGCACATACGTCTTAAACAAATTGCGAGAGTGTCACGGATTCCCATGACCAACGTAGCACAAGTTGCGTTTTGGAAGGATGCAGGCTTATGATAATGCACAAATTATGTTGATTCGCGGTGTTCAAATGCCAGGAATGGCGTTCTGGGACGATCCAAGATCGTCAAGACGCAACAACCACGTTGATCCGTGGCCTTGCAATCCCGGGAACAATGTCATGGTAACAATTCCAAGTTGCCTGTCATGGTAACCGTATCGACTGCAAAAACGAGCCCGAGCTCGTTCGCGAAACCATCCACGATGTAAGCTAGAGCGCGACGCATGTGACTGTTGACCTTGGATGGGGGTACCTCACTCTGGTTTAAGCTGATGACGTCGGCGCGCACGTCAAGCTAGGCCACTCGCCCGAGAGTGGGAACACGGAGACTACGAGGAGCACGTGACACTTAATCTCGGAAGCTACTACGCTGGAGCCAGCCACGATGCCCTGCCATCGAAATAGCTTTCGCGAGGCCCGACTCGCCAGCATCAATACTCTGAGACATAGGCCGGTCGCAATGACATACTGCAGCACGCACAACGGATATACAAAACTAGCTACAGTCACTTCCACGCCTTCATGCCGCGCATGTTCGTAGCACTGTCTAAGATTCCCTAGGATGTCGAGGACGTGCTGATTGTTCATGTGCGCTGTGTGCCTCCTGATGCCCTGCCTCCAAACTCCAGCCGAGGCATGTCTGCGTGGTGCAATGCGAAACGCGCCACACTTCCCAATGGTCAGCTTCCATCCGCGCAATACCTGAGCGTTCAATTTCGACACCATTCTGCCTCAACCCCGGTAGAAGCCGATCGGTCTGATCCATGTCTTGGGCTTCGCGAACAGAGAAACGACCAACATCTGCATCCGCGTGGGCATTCCCGCACAATCTGATGATAACGAAAAACTTACACAAGATGGCCAGCGCCGCGTCCGAGAGAGTTTCAATATGTCCGGGATGAAACACGTGGATGTCAATCATTTTTTCTTGAAGGAAAAGGATATCTGCCTGATTTCGTCGATCCTCGGAGCCCCTGGGTCGGAAGGGCAGGTCAAACAAGCGGAGTGGGTTTGCGGGTCTCTTTTGCGCACGCCTGCGACCACTCCTCGACCTGGTTGGACAGAGCGGCTGTCGAGCAAGCTGTACGGAGCCCGTCGTCACATACGTGGAAAACCTCTTCCGTCCTCTCCTCCGGCATCTTGGTGTCAGCATGGGCCCATTTAGCCCCCTCTTCCAAAGTTTCTGAAAGCTAGCATTTCCAGCTGATGCGGGTTTCCTTCTTCCTCCGAGGGAGAAAAACAGTCGGCATCTCCCCCGCATCCCGCCCAAGAGGGGCCATGTATGAGGTCGAGGTCGCGTCGGAAAACTGTTTGTCAAGTTTGCAGCCCCAGTGGCCCCCCCGCCACCCAGGTGAAAGCGCGGCCCATTTGGACCTTGAGCTGCTGCTCGTTAGAGAGCCCTGAACAGCTGGATGAACCATTGTTCCTCCCAAGTACTGCCGTCGCGCAGGGGTGAAACAGCTTCTCGGCACTGGTGGTGCAGCCATATCAGCGCACGGTGGCCTGAATGCCCACGGTGATGCTTGGTGGCCAAAGCTCGAACTAGGGAACAACTTCAAACTCATACTCAGTGCCTCCAGAAGCCCCTCGCTCTGGATAGGTCTGGGATGCGTCAATCAGTTCACCCCAAGCTGTGTCGTGCCACCCCAAGGCTGCCCCGTCCAAACCCTCCTGGATCTTCTGGCGCTCAACTTCTGACTTCGGGGTCACACAAATCTCACGGTTGGGCCCGTTGAAGTCCTCGGGGATCGCACCGTATATATCCCTCGAAGCAGCGGTCATCTGGCGCACGTGGTCCAGGACCAACTGGAAGTACAGCATGCAGCTTCTGCCTTGGCCTGGACGCGCGACCATCTTGTCCCCTGGGCCATCGACGAACCTGAGGACCACTGAACACTGGCATTTGAGGTGCAAGGTGGGCCTCCGTGTCCGTGGTGGCGTTTCTGACTGCATGCGGAAGGGAGAAGGAGCCACCGAAAACAACTGAAACACCTCCCAGACTGGCCAGTCGTGCAGGTGATGGACGGCTCTGACATGATAACGTTCCCCGTGTGCGCACGAGAGGGACGGGCAGTTCCCAGGATGTGGTGCTCCAGATTGTGATCCCCTCCCGACATGACAAGAAGGCCATGGTGAAGATGTGGTTCCCCAAAGCCTGAGCAATAGTTGTGCTCTCACCATTCAAAGCAATACTGGAACGTCAACCGTCCGAGTAGATGCAGAACAGGCAAGTCCTTGACACGATCCAGGATGTTGACGGCCCTGTGGGTCAAACACGAGATTCAGAGGGCTGCCAAGCATCCATGTACGATCGGACCAACACCACAAGACCCGCCGACATACCTTTTCCCGTGCCAAAGCCCTCCTCCCAGAACGAGCGCCAGCCTGAGTTGGTAAGAGAGGCCCTGGTTTCAGTAATCCAAGGGGCCTGTATCCTGTGCGCCATACACCAAAACAATGCGTGCCGAGCTTGAAAAATAATGCGCGTCGCCGAGCTGCGGCCTGGCCCATTGACTGTCATGATGCTGAGCCCCTTCCTGAGGGGGTTACGTGAAACTTGTACTGGTACTGGCGATTCGGCTGCCACGGAATCTAGTCAAGCTGCCGTTCGACGTTCGTCCGCTGTCTCGTCTTCTTCTGGCTCGCTATTGCGGCTGCGGGCACGAGTGCCTTCACCTCCCGAGCTCCCCCTGCCGTCGCCGAACGATTCCTCATCATCAGCAGCAGCATCATCAGCAGCATAATCATCATCATCATCATCATCATCATCATCATCATCATCATCAACATCATCATCAGCATCATCATCATCATCATCATCATCATCATCATCATCATCATCATCATCATCATCGTCATCAGCATCATCATCATCATCATCATCATCATCAACAGCAGCATCACCATCAGCATCATCATCATCGTCAGCATCATCATCATCATCATCAGCATCGTCATCATCATCATCATCCGCATCAGCATCATCGTCATCAGCATCATCATCATCAGCATCATCCTCATCAGCCGCATCAGCATCAGCATCATCAGCAACAACAGCATGATCATCATCAGCAGCAACAGCTATATCATCATCATCAGCATCATCATCATCATCAGCATCATCGTCATCATCATCATCATCATCATCATCATCATCATCATCATCCTCGTCGTCATCGTCGCCACCGTCATCATCAGCACCATCAGCATCATCATCATCAGCAGCAGCATCGCCATCTTCATCATCATCAGCGACAGTCGCATCGCCAGCAGCGTCATCATCAACATGAGTATCGTCATCATCATCATCAGCATCAGCAGCATCACCATTCTCAGCAGCAGCATCAGGATCGTAATCATAATCATCATAATCATCATCATCAGCATCATCAGCAGCATCATCATCATCACCATGAACCCAATCCTCATAATCGACGTCCTCAGCATCGTCAGCACGACAGCCATCAGCAGCAGCAGCAGCACCATCATCATAATCGTCGTCAGCATCATCGTACGCATCGTCAGCACGAGCATCAGCAGCACCGCATTCATCAGGTTCATCATCTTCATCAGCATCATCGCCACCGTCAGCAGAATCATCGCCGTTGCCATCATCAGCATTATCATCGGCATCGCAGTGGTCATCGTCATAGTCAGTATCATCTTCATCATCATCAGCAGCAGCAGCAGCATCAGCAGCAGCATCATGCATCATGATCATCATAATCAGCAGCATCAGCATCAGCATCAGCATCAACATCAGCATCAGCATCATCATCATCATCATCATCATCATCATCATCATCATCATCATCATCACCATCATGATCAGCATCATCACCAGCAGCATCATCGTCGGCATCATCATCATCAGCATCAGCATTGTCATCATCATCCTCATCATCGCCACCATGAACAAAATCCTCATAATCGACGTCATCCGCGTCATGGCAGCCATCAGCAGCACCATGACCCATGCACGGTGGCGGGATGGGCCGAGGCCCACTAGATCCGCCGCCCCCTGCTTGCAGGGGTGCACGGCGTGCTGGACGAGTCAGGTTTTGGTTTTGGTTCTTTTTCTAAAAGAACTCCCCAATGGGCTTCGGCCCGTCCCGCCGGCCACCCGCAAGTTTCCGAAAATCCGTCTGTCAATGCCCAAAAACGGCCGTTTCGCTCGGGACATCCTCAAAAAATCGCGAAGATGGCCCAAGATGGCCTCCAAGTCCGCCCGAGATGGTCCAAGACGGCCTCCAAAACGGCCCAAGAGAGTCCAAGACGGCCCAAGACGGCCCAAGAGGCCCCCCAGAGGCCTCCCAGACGGCCCAAGAGGCCTCCAAGAGGTCCTCCAGGAGAGTCCGAAGAGGCCAAAATCATTGATTTTCTTTGGTTTTTGAAGGATTTTGGCATTTGCGCCTTTTCGGCTCTCCGACGGCTCAAGACGGCCCAAGAAGCCCCCAAGATCGCCCAAGAGGCCCCCAAGAGAGCCCCATGATGGCCCAAGTGGCCTCCAAGATGGCCCCTAGAGGGCCCCAAGAGGGCCCAAGAGGCCTCCAACACGCCCAAGATGGCCTCCCAGACGCCCAAGATGGCCTCCAAGACGGCCCTGGAGCATTCCAAGCGGGCCCCAAGTCGGCCCATAGAGGCCCCCCAAACGGCTTCCGACGGCTTCAGACGTGCCAGGAACCCACCAAGATGGCCGAAGTTGGCTCGAAGCTGGCCCGAGACGGCCCAAAAAGCCCCAAAGATCGCCCAAAGCTTGCCCAAGAGGCCTCCAAGACGGCCAAGATGACCTTCAAGATGCCCACGTGTTCCCCGAAGGCTTTCCAAACCGATTCGGGGAACACGTGGTCCGATAGCTTGGCAGGTCTGGCCTCAACGTTCGGCCACATAGGCGCTTCCAAAAAGGCAGGGGGCGGCGGTGATTCGCCGTAGGCGTCTTTATCATCAGCATCAGCATTGTCATCATCATCCTCATCATCGCCACCATGAACACAATCCTCATAATCGACGTCATCCGCGTCATGGCAGCCATCAGCAGCACCATGACCCATGAAAGGTGGCGGGATGGGCCGAGGCCCACTAGATCCGCCGCCCCCTGTCGATTCATCGCAGGGGTGCCTGGCGTGCTGGACTTTTACGGGTTTGGTTTTGGTTCTTTTTCCAAAAGAACTCTCCCAGTGGGTTTCGGCCCGTCCCGCCAGGGTCCCGAGAGGATTGCCCAGGAGCACAAACTCCCGAAAAAATCCTTCAAGACGGCTCAAGATGGCGTCCAAGATGGCCAAGATGGCCCAAGATGGCCTCCAGGATGGTCCAAGATGGCCTCCAAGTCCGCCCAAGATGGTCCAGGACGGCCTCCAAGACGGCCCAAGAGAGTCCAAGACGGCCCAAGACGGCCCAAGAGGCCCCCCAGAGGCCTCCCAGACGGCCCAAGAGGCCTCCAAGAGGTCCTCCACGAGGGCCCGAAGAGCCCCAAATCATTGATTTTCTTTAGGTTTTTGAAGGATTTGGGAATTTGCTTCTTCTCGGCAGTCCGACGGCTCAAGACGGCCCAAGATGCCCCCAAGATCGCCCAAGAGGCCCCCAAGAGGGCCCCATGACGGCCCAAATGGCCTCCAAGATGGCCCCAGAACGGCTCAAGAGGGCCCCAAGACGGCCCAAGAGGCCTCCAACACGGCCAAGATGGCCTCCAAGACGCCCAAGATGGCCTCCAAGACGGCCCCGAAGCGCCCCAAGAGGGTCCCCCGTTGGCCCAGAAAGGCCCCCAAGACGGCTCTCGACGGCGTCAGACGTGCCAGGAACCCACCAAGATGGCCGAAGTTGGCTCGAAGCTGGCCCAAGATGGCCCAAGAGGCCCCCAAGAAGGCCTCCAGGAAGGCCAGAAGAGGCCAAAAACATTGATTGTCAGAAGGTATTCGACGGATTTTGCCATGTCCGTCTTTTCGACCTTCCGACGGCCAAAGATCGCCGAAAGATCGCCCACGAGGCCTCCAAGATGGCCCCAGAACGGCCCAAGAGGGCCCCAAGACGGCCCCAAGAGGCCCCAAGACGGCACAAGAGGCCTTTCAGACGCCCAAGATGGCCTCCAAGACGGCCCTGGAGCATTCCAAGAGGGCCGCAAGTCGGCCCATAGAGGCCCCCCAAATGGCTTCCGACGGCGTCAGATGGACCAGGAGCCCACCAAGACGGCCGAACATGGCCCTAAGATGGCCCAAGACGGCCCAAGAGGCCTCCAAGAGGGTCTCCAGGAAGGCCCGAAAAGGCCAAAATCATTGATTTGCCATGGGTTTTTGAAGGATTGTGACATTTGCTTTTTCTCCGCCTTCCGACGGCCCGAGACGGCCCAAGTGCCCCCAAGACACGGCCCCAAGAGGCCCCCAAGACGGCCCAAGAGGTCTCCGAACGCTCAAGATGGCCTCCAAGACGGTCCAAGAGCCCTCCAAGACGTCCTCCAAGAAGGCCCGAAAGGGTCAAAATGGCCTCCAGACGGCCAACATGACCTTCAAGATTCAAGATGCCCACGTGTTCCCCGAAGGCTTTCCAAACCGATTCGGGGAACACATAGTCCGATAGCTTGGCAGGTCTGGCCTCAACGTTCGGCCACATAAGCGCTTCCAAAAAGGTAGGGGGCGGCGGTGATTCGCCGTAGGCGTCTTCGATAGCCCACGGCGGTCCGCTCACGCCGCTGGAGACTGCGCCGGAGTCAGGGGTCTACGAAAACCGTGTGGTGGCAGATGGCCCGATGACCCCGAAATCCCGAGTCTGTCACGACAAAGCGCCATAACCCAGGCGGCCCCAGGCGATCGAGACATCCTCGGAGATCCACAAGGGTACCTAAAACACTCGCTCACCCCGAATCACCTCCGACATGCCAGATGGAGCGGCTGCCAATCCGCTCTGGGACATCCGAGGGCGCTCAGACAACCCCAGACTGTCATGGGGGGGGGCCTGTGGAGGCAAACCAAGACTGACCTCCTGCGGCTGTCCCTGGAGATCTCCGGAGGTCCCCAGGAGCCCCTGGAGGACCCAGGAAGTCGACGCAGGTCCCCTGAAGTCCCCAGGCGCTCTGGGACACTCAAAAAGGGTCAGAGAGACGCCCAAACCCTCGATCGAGGTCGCGGAGGCTCTGCCAGGGGGGTCCGTCGTCGCCGCCGCCGCCGCCGCCATCTCCGTGACCGCCACGACCGTCGCCGACGCCGCAGCCGCCACTGCTGCCGCAGCCGCCGTCGCCGTCGCCGTCGTTGTCTTCGTTCGCGTGCGCGCCGCCACCGTCGCCGCCGTCGCCGCCCGACGCCGTCGGCGGCCTCGCCCTCCGTCTCCACCGTGAAGTCCCCGCGGCCGCCCCTTGTCAGGCGAGCGATGTGCTCCGCGTGGCGGCGCCAATGCTCCGCGTCGCCGCCTGGCGGCGCCCGCCGCCCGGAGGCGCGGCCCGCCCGCCGCGCTCCGACACTCGAGAGGCGCCCATCCGCCACCGTGCCTTTAAAGGCTCCTTAGAGGCTCCTGAGAGGCTCCGTAACTAGTCTCCTTAGAGGCTCGCTCCTTGAGGCTCGCTGCTTGAGGTTCGCTCCTTGCTCCTTCGAGGCTCCTGAGAAGCTCCTCCGAAGCTCCTGAGAGGCTCCTGAGAGGCTCCTTAGAGGCACCTCAGAGGCTCCTGAAGCAGTGCCCCAGAGATTGTACACTTGTGCTTCGGTGATCTGCTGACCCTTGTCAATCCAGACCCTGGTCAGTCGGGCTTCGCGGGATCCTGCAACATCCAGCAGGATCCTGCAGGATCCTGCGCGCTGGCCTGGGTCTGCGTACCCCTGGCACTGCAGGATCCTGCAAGATCCGGCGCTCTGGCTGGCCCCTGTTTGCATTGACCCCGTCTGGAGGCTCCCAAGTGCTCAAGAATGCCTGGACCTCCAGCTTGCCAGAATTTATCCGGATTCCTGTTGCCCTTCTGGGCACCTTCCTGGGTGTCCAAGAACCCCTGAGAAAACCCTTGAAAACCGCCAATGCACGGTGGCGGGATAGGCTGGAGGCCACCAGATACATCACCACCACCATGCCTGGCCAGGGCAAGGCGTGGTGGTACTTTGGTGGTGTACAGATGCCTTCAGCGGATCCGCCTCCGACGGGGGACGGCAGTCCAAGAGGCCGCCAAGATCGCAAGGGAAGAATCAAGGAAGAAGATGTTGGAGTGGTGTTCACCGTTCTTGCACCTCTGGGCGGCTTCTCGTCGCCACGGCTGGATTCCCCAGAGTGCCCAGTCTGAGCTCATCTCAGGAGAGATGCGGGTGGCGATGTTCGGCTCAAGCCGCCCTCAAGAGAGGCCAGAGAGGGAGAGCTAGAGTTAGGTCGGCCATGTCCTCCTTCAGGCGGATTTTGGACGATAAATAAAGAATACCCGAAAAAATACTCCAGCAGATTCAAACATAATATTCTAACAAAAATCGTTCCCAGAGAATTGTTTGACTATTCTTGAATATTCCTACTGTAGCGAGACAGGCCCGACTTAAAACGCTAGAGGGGGGCCCCAGGAACCCTCCCCGCCAGAAGATCCCCTGAGGCCGTCGGTAGGCTGCTTAAGAGACCAAGAGGCACCCGAAGGGCCCCAAAAGAGCCTCCAGGAGGTCCGAAACAGGCTCCCAAGAGGCCCCGTAGAGGCCCCCGGGAGGCCACCACCAGGACGCCAAAGGAGACCCCAAAGTGGGGGAACCAACACTGACATAGACATAAGAACGCGGAGGTCCGAGCGGATTTCTTGGATCTCCCTGGCGCGCGGAACGCGCCAGGGGCGGCGCCGGCGACGTCGCCAGGGGGCCCCAGCGCCGATCCGAGAAATCCGCGCGGACCTTCGAGTTATTATGTTTGTGTCATTGTTCGTTCCCCTACTAAGGGCCTCGTAGAACATGTTGGAGCATCAGAGCACGGAAGGAACAGGCTGCAGGTCGCGGTGCAAAAGGTATGCACATTCTAGAAGACGAAAGGCACGACGAGTTACCAGCTCATCATCCGCTTGAACAACTGAATACAGCTCTGCATTACGTATGGCACCAATTGTATGCCGTGCAACTCCTCGTCACTTGGGGCTCCGCCTCTCTCGAATTCGGAGGCAGCCTTCTCTTGCTCTTCACCTCTCTTGGTCGTCTCAGTCTCGGCTGCCTGCAGGCTTTCGAGGTAATGGCGCTTCTCTGCCTTCAGGGCTTCTAGGGAGGGTGCGTGCAGACTGTCCATGGCGTCCAGCGCCGCGATCTCAGCCTTGACCTTATCGATCGCCGCGGCAAGCTCCTCCTTTGTGCGAGCAGCAAGCCGGTGCGCCGGTGGCGCCGCGTCAACACCCTCCTCTGTACGAGCAGGCAGCTGGCGCGCCGGTGGCGCCGCGTCAGCATCCTCCTTGGTGCGAGCAGCCAGTGGGGGCGCCGGCGGTGCCAGCTGCACGTGGTATGCACTCCCCGCACTCGGGGCTTCGTCCCCCTCGATCTCCGTGGCGTTGTTGTCATCCTCCTCACCGCTCTCGGCCGTCTCGTTCTCGGCCGCGTCAATCTCCTCGCTCTCGGTGGCGTTCCTATCGTCCTCCTCGACGCCGTCGGCCGTGCCATTCTCAGCGTCAGTCTCGTCGTTCTCGGTGACATTTTTCTCCTCGTCCTCCTCCTCGGCACTCGCAGTCGTGACGTTCTCGCCATCCTTCAATGTATGATTACCGCCGTCCGCGGTCATCAAGTGGCCATGGTCCCAGAAAACCTGCTCGCGCTCCCACTTTCGCCGATGTACGTTCCAGACAATGTGGTCGGTGTCTTTCGGGGCGTGATGCCAATTGTGGCCTTGCCTGATGTTCATCTTCTTTCTCTCAAAGCTTGTTCCGTTGTGGAAAAGCCAAAGTGTTGTATCCCTGGGACATTGAGCTTCCTTACTCGCAAAACCATACACCTGATTCGATCTGTAGTTCGCCCCAATCGCCCAGGCCAGCTGCTCCTGCATAAAAAACAAATACAATGGCGCGTTTTTCATATCGCGATCCCGATTGATATAGATAGGCCTGCCGCCGTTGAACTTCCGGGTCGGGATAGTGGTCTTCATGTACGAACCCGCAATCATGGTCAGATTGGGGTTAGGCGCCCAGAGCTTCAAGGTTGCAGGGCACTCTAGGCAGGTCTCGTCCCTCCACTTCCCGTTCTTTCGCGCCCATCGCCTCTCCTTCCTCGAGACCATGCTCGAATGGCAGCAGGTCCCCAGGCTCCCGAGCTCGTTCCGGAGCTCTGTCGAGAGCCTGGGGAAACCGAAACGCACTGATACTGCTGCTCCCCTTGACCTCTCCCAGGGTGTGTTCGGACCAGGATTTCGAAGCAACTCTGGCCGTGGCGACGAGGGCCTCCCAGGAGGCCCACGCATGGGAAAACCAGGGGAAGGGTAGCGCTCGGAGGTTGCGGGGTGAGATCACAGTGGAACGGAGAGCCCCAACCGGGAAATCGTTTCGTTTCGTTCGTGTCGTGCGTGCGGGCGAGGAGAAGCTGCGTGGGCGCGCGAGAAGAATGAACCCGCTGTTGCTAGGGCGAAGTCAAGACAAATGCTTCTCCCCCGCCCGCCCATCCGGCGGTGGCTCGCGGCGTCCCGCGGTGTCCCGTGGTGTCCCGTGGTGTCCGCCGTTGCCATGGCGAAATCAAGACAAATGATTCTCCCTCGCCCGCCCGTCTGGCGGTGGCTCGCGGTGTCCCGCGGTGTCCCGTGGTGTCCCGTGGTGTCCCGTGGTGTCCGTCGTTGCCAGGGCGAAGTCAAGACAAATGATTCTCCCCCGCCCGCCCGTCCGTCCGTCCGTCCGGCGGTGGCTCGCGGTGTCCCGCGGTGTCCCGTGGTGTCCAGTGGTGTCCCCTTGAGTGAGATCGACAGTGAGATCGATCGTGAGATCGATAGTGAGATCGATAGTGAGATCGATACTAAGATCGATGTGGTGACCCAAAGTGTCCCGTGGTGTCCCGTTGAGTGAGGCCGATAGACAGATCGATAATGAGATCGAGAGGTGTCCCGTGGTGTCACGTGGTAGTGGGATCGATAGTGAGATCGATAGTGAGATCGATACTGAGATCGATGTGGTGCCCCGCGGTGTCCCGAGGTGTCCCGTGGTGTCCCGTGGTGTCCCCTTGAGTGAGATCAATAGTGAGATCGATAGTGAGATCGACAGGTGTCCCGTGGTGTCCCGTGGTGTCCCGTTGAGTGGGATCGATAGTGAGATGGATCGTGGGATCGATGGTAAGATCGATGTTGTGTCCCGCGGTGTCCCGAGGTGTCCCGTGGTGTCCTATGGCGTCCCGTTGAGTGAGATCGATCGTGAGATCAATAATGAGACCGATAGTGAGATCGAGAGGTGTCCCGATGTGTGCCGTGGTGTCCCGTGGTGCCCTGTGGTGTCCCGTTGAGTGAGATCGATAGAGAGAGATCGATAGTGAGATCGACAAACGTCCCGTGGTGTCTCGTGGTGTCCCGTGGTGTCCCGTGGTGTCCCGTGGCGTCCCGTTGAGCGAGATCGATAGTTAGGTAGAGTGAGTCCGATGTCGGTTCCCCCCCCCTCTCCCCCCCCCAACAGCCTCTTTATCACCCGAAGGGTGGTCGTACAGGTATATGGGTGTTGCGTCTACCTCTCGAGGGCCTGTTGGAGTGCTTGCGAATATCGCAGTAGTACTCGGACCACTTCCCGCAGGACCCGAAGTTCGTGTGCATGCAGGCCAGGCCCGGCGCGCCAGGCCGCCGAACGAGCTCCAGCAGCCGCCGCTTGGCGGAGGTGGGCTTCGGGTGGCCGGTGAAGTGGGCGACCACGGCGTTCCAGCTGCAGTGGTGCTCGCAGGGCTTCGTCTGGCCTGTCGGCGGCGCGGAGAGCGGGTGGGACGAGAGGGGGGTGGCACTACGGGACGGGGGGCTTCTCGAAAAACTCCGGGTCTTCGGAAAAGCCCGTCTGGGAGGTCTCGGATCCCCTCTGTGGAGCACGCTGGCTTCTCGGGAGCCCCCTCGCCCCGATCCCGTCTGCGCGCCGCCCAACCTGGCTGGATGCCCACCGTGTCCACGCAGTTGAAGATCCGGTCGATCTCCATGATCTTGCCACTGTAGTAAGAATTGATCAGGTTCTGGTCAAGGATCTGCTCCCGCCGGCGCTGCGTGACCATGTTGAGCATCTCTTTAAACACCTTGACGTCCGGCTTGAAGAGCATCACCCCGCTATTGTACTCGTCCTTGCAGCCGTCCTTCGCCATGGCGATGTGGTCTTCGGAGGGCAGCTTCATCTGGGTCACCAGCCACTTGACGTGGCCTCTGAAAATGTATGTGTCCGAATCAAAGAACAGCACCCGCTTGAAGGGCAGGCGGAAGACATTGATCTTCTCGAAGCTATCATGCCAACGCCCCAAGAATTCCATGTCACAGCCCTCTCCGCAGTACTCGCTATCCCAGTTTGGCACCGCGATCAACTTCCAGCCAGCCCCCCGCAGGAGAAGCTGACTCTCCGACTTCATGCCCTGGATAATCAAGGCCGCCATAGGGTACTCTGGCAGGTACTCCTGGACGGACATGCCAAGCATCACCGCCCCGTCGATGTACTCCGTGTTCTTCTTGCCTGCAAATGTTACGACGGCCGTGTGGTGGGGATTCGTAGGGTGTGGGCCATCCGACGCCGCCGATGCAAAATATTCGTAATCGTCATCGCTGACGGGGAGTGTGACCGAGACGTTCCCGATCCACTCTGGCGTGAGGAGGCCAGACTTCCCAGCACTAGCACGGACCGTGATGCCCTGGCAGACGTCGACGACACCCACCAGTGCAAAGGCCAGAGTTCGTGAGCTGCTCCAGAACATGTGGTCACATAGGCCAAGTGCTAAAAAACATGAAACAAGGTTTGGTTTGGTATCTGCCGACTTTGTGCGGGCTTGCTGCGCAGAGCAGCCGGTCCAACTTGAGCCGAGATGACCAGGGGCACGAGGAGCGGGCGCAGTCGTCGCTGCAGGGAACAGCGTCCCGAGTCTGGAACCGACGGCCACGCGTGACACCAACACCGCGAAGCACGTGCTCTGGGCTCGACCCTCCCTGGTGGCGAAGCACTCCTTGCAGCTGGCGTTATCAAATGATAGTCTGCCGATCGCTACTTCGAGGAGGAGAAGGAGAAGGAGCAGGAGTGAAGCGCCCGCAGCGGAAGAGGGAGCAGGAGGAGCAGGAGGGGAGAGACATTTTGAGGTTCGCGGAGCCTTGGGGGGGGGGCTCCTCGAGAGCCCCCGTCGCCACGCCTCGAAATCGTGGCAAGAGTGGCAAGAGATCGTGGCAAGAGCGCGGCCCGAGGGGGGCACACCCGGAGGAGAAGCAGACCACGCCTCCGGGCGTCGCGAAAAGACGAGCACCTCCTCACGGCTTCGGCCTCCGGGATGCGAAAGGCCACACTCCGCAGGAGGAGAAGCGGAATCGCCTCTGCACTGAGAGAGCAGACCCTCCAGTGGCGCTGCTGAAAAGGACGGCGGAGGAGAAGGAAAAACAAGCCCCCACTTGGCCCGCTTTGGTCACTTGGCACGCGTTGCCCACTTCGGTTCACGCAGTTCACTTGGCTCGCCTGCTCTTGACAAACATCACTGGTCTGGAATTGCGCAGTATTTGCGACACTTGGCTCACTTGGACCTATGTGGCCACCCGATGGGGCAAGTGGGCCAAGTGAGCCGAGAAGTCCAGTTCGAGACACCAAACTCCGATCCACAAGACGGTTGAGCAGATGAGCCAAGTGACCCCAAGCTCCAAGTGGCCGAATCTGAAAATCAAATAACAGGGGGCCATTATGAGGGATACGATGGGAAAGAGGGAGGAGACAAGGAGAAATAAGGGGCTAAGGAAGAGGAGGAGCGAGAACGGAGGTAGGTGGGAGCAGGATGGGGACAAGGAGAGAAGAGGGAAGAGGAAGGAGGGAGAACGAGGAAGAAAGGACGTGTTTGAAAGACTTGTGATGGGTGGAAAGGGCGAGTGAGAGGAGGGGACAGCAGTGGCCGACGGAAGATTGGATGAGACAAGGAGGAAGCAAGATGGGACCAAAGGAGGCGGGAGGGCACGGGAGGGGCTGACTGAGGGCTAGAATGGAGATGAGGAAATGGGACAAGAAGGGACGGGAAGAGACCAAAGGGCGGAGGAGATGGATGGGCACACACACACACACACACCAAGGCCTGGCTAACGGCGATGTTGCTCAACGGTGAGGCTGAGAACCAAATTGTAGGAAATCACGAACCACACTTTCCCACATATCCAATTTATGGATCGAGCGAACACGACACAGCGACTTGCAGGAAAGCGCGAGCCACATGTTCCCACACTATCGAAGCCTGCATCGCCATTACCTACTTCGCCGTTAGCCTGTCTACGCGCACAGGAAACAAGGATGGGGAAGGAGAAAAAGAAGGAAGAGTCATGAAAATCGTGGGCAAGCCTGTCACAAAATGTGGATCTCCATGGTTCGAATGAAGAGAACCCTGCGCCCTTTGTGCTACACAGAATGGACCCGGGATACCCGAGCAATTGCGAATCCGACGCCCCTGTGACACATGTTCCAGACCTGGGAGACTTGGAGCAAGGAGGTTCTGGTGCCTCTGCGAACGGTGTGCCCCAGCCACACCTTCAGGACCCTGCGTCCCAAGCAAAACGCGCAAAACGTGTGAACTCAGACAGCTCGCCGAAACTGGTCATGATTCATGATGCTCGTGCAGGATGGGAGAAGACAGAAGGTCGGCAATACTACCCTCAGATTGGGGAAACAACGCCATCGTGTCGTACGCATTGAGTGGGGTGTCCGCAGGTCCCTTCGAGTTCCCTGTATTGCACACTGATTCAGAGCCCCCGAGCCCCGAGTCACGGGCCGCTCCCAGGCGCTGTCGGGCTTTCCTTTTTTTCGCATGGGTGGCTGTTTCCAAAGACCTCGGGGGCGTGGTCTGGAACCCACACTTCCAACATGGCGTAAGATGGTCCCAGAACTCGTCCTGGAGCCCCCATCGGAGCCTCTTCCGTCGTCTTGGAGGCCTTGAGGGCCAGCACAGGAGGCCAACATCAATGAAAAAGCCTAAGAAGCTGTTGTATATGTTGTGGATGAGCAAGCCTAGAAAGTTGATGCATGAAAAGTCTACCAGAGGCTCCGAGAAGCCTACAAGAGGGGTCCATGAGGCCCCCAAGAGGCATTCCAACAGCCCCCAGAGGGTCAAGGGGGGCTCTTTGTCATAACCCTAGCACGGTGGCGGGATGGGCCGGATGTCACTATATCCGCCGCCCCCTGTCGATTCATCGCAGGGGTGCCTGGCGTGCTAGACCTCTCGGTTTTGGTTTTGGTTCTTTTTCCGAAAGAACTCTCCCAATGGGCTTCGGCCCTTCCCGCCGGGGTCCCGGGAGGATTGCCCAGGACCCCAAAGTCCCGAACAAATCCTCCAAGACGGCTCAAGATGGCGTCCAAGACGACCAAAATGGCCCAGGATGGTCTCCAAGACGTCTCCAAGACGGCCCAAGATGGCCTCCAAGACGGCTAAGATGGCCCCAAGATGCCTCCAAGACGGCCCAAGATGTACCCAAGACGGTCTACGACGGCCCAACAGGCCCGCAAGAGGCCTCCAAGACGGCCCAAGAGCCCTCCAAGACGTCCTCCAGGAAGGCCCACAAGGGCCAAAACCCTTGATTGTCCTTTGGTTTTTGAAGGATTTGGGCATTTGCGCCTGTTCAGCTTTCCGACGGCCCAAGACGGCCCAAGAGGCCCCCAAGATCGCCCAAGAGGCCCCTAAGAGGGCCCCAGGACGGCCCAAGTGGCCTCCAAGACGGCCCCAAGAGGGCCCCAAGACGGCCCACGAGGCCTCCAACACGCCCAAGATGGCCTCCAAGACGCCTAAGATGGCCTCCAAGACGGCCCCGAAGCGCCCCAAGAGGGCCTCAAGACGGCCCAGAAAGGCCCCCAAGACGGCTCCCGACGGCGTCAGACGTGCCAGGAACCCACCAAGATGGCCGAAGTTGGCTCGAAGCTGGCCCAAGACGGTCCAAGAGGCCTCCAAGAGGGCCTCCAGGAAGGCCAGAAGAGGCCCAAAACCTTGATTGTCCGTAGGTTTTTGACGGATTTTTACATTTCCTTCTTTTCGGCCTTCCGACGGCGCGAGACGGCCCAAGAGCCCCCGAAGATCGCCGGAAGATCGCCCAAGAGGCCTCCAAGATGGCCCCAGAACGGCCCAAGAGGGCCCCAAGACGGCCCCAAGAGGCCCCCAAGACGGCACAGGAGGCCTTTAAGACGCCCAAGATGGGCTTCCAAGACGGCCCTGGAGCATACGGCGTCAGACGGACCAGGTGCCCACCAAGACGGCCGAAGATGGTCCTAAGATGCCCCCAGACGGCCCAAGAGGCCTCCAAGAGGGCCTCCAGGAAGGCCCGAAAAGGCCAAAATCATTGATGTCCCATAGGTGTTTGAAGGATTGCGGCATTTGATTTGTTTCTGCCTTCCGACGGCCCGAGACGACCCAAGTGCCTCCAAAGATCGCCAAAGAGGCCCAAGACACGGCCCCAAGAGGCCCCCAAGACGGCCCAAGAGGTCTCCAAGACGCTCAAGATGGCCTCCAAGACGGCCCACGAGCCCTCCAAGACGTCCTTCAAGAAGGCCCGAAAGGATCAAAATGGCCTCCAGACGGCCAAGATGAGTACCTTCAAGATGCCCACGTGTTCCCCGAAGGCTTTCCAAACCGATTCGGGGAACACATGGTCTGATAGCTTGGCAGGTCTGGCCTCGACGTTCGGCCACATTGGCGCTTCCAAAAAGGCAGGGCGCGGCGGTGATTCGCCGTAGGCGTCTTCGATCCGCCGCCCCCTGTCGATTCATCGCAGGGGTGCCTGGCGTGCTAGACCTCTCGGTTTTGGCTTTAGTTCTTTTTCCGAAAGAACTCTCCCAGTGGGTTTCGGCCCGTCCCGCCTGGGTCCCAGGAGGATTGCCCACGTGCACAAACTCCACGAACAATCCTCCCTGAAACGGCCGTTTCGCTGGGGACATCCTCAACAAATCGCGAAGATGGTCCAAGATGGCCTCCAAGTCCGCCCAAGATGGTCCAAGACGGTCTCCAAGACGGCCCAAGAGAGTCCAAGACGGCCCAAGAGGCCCCCCAGAGGCCTCCCAGACGGTCCAAGAGACCTCCAAGAGGTCCTCCAGGAGGGCCCGAAGAGGCCAACATTATTGATTTTCCGTATGTTTTTGAAGGATTTGGGCATTTGCGCCGTTTCAGCTTTCCGACGGCCCAAGAGGCCCCCAAGATCGCCCAAGAGGCCCCTAAGAGGGCCCCAGGACGGCCCAAGTGGCCTAAGACGGCCCCAAGAGGGCCCCAAGACAGCCCACGAGGCCTCCAACACGCCCAAGATGGCCTCCAAGACGCCCAAGACGGCCTCCACGACGGCCCCGAAGCGCCCCAAGAGGGCCCCAAGTCGGCCCCAAAAGGCCCCCAAGAGACGGCTCCCGACGGCGTCAGACGTGCCAGGAACCCACCAAGATGGCCGAAGTTGGCTCGAAGCTGGCCCAAGACGGTCCAAGAGGCCTCCAAGAGGGCCTCCAGGAAGGCCAGAAGAGTCCCAAAACCTTGATTGTCCGTAGGTTTTTGACGGATTTTTACATTTCCTTCTTTTCGGCCTTCCGACGGCGCGAGACGGCCCAAGAGCCCCCGAAGATCGCCGAAAGATCGCCCAAGAGGCCTCCAAGACGGCCAAGATGACCTTCAAGATGCCCACGTGTTCCCCGAAGGCTTCCCAAACCGATTCGGGGAACACATGGTCCGATGGCTTGGCAGGCCTGGCCTCGACGTTCGGCCACATAGGCGCTTCC